GTGATTTACAAGAGTGATGGAACTTATTTTTATGATAATGAAAAACCACAGATATATTTTGACTAAAATGGAGATGGCTGTAAACAGCAACATAAGAAAATTTCAACAGACAGGGCATGTCACAAGTACATCCCTATTGCATCATCTGGGATTACTAAGGAATCTCAGTTGAATTTTATCTTGGTTCAAAAAAATTACATACGTCTATGTGATTATTACTTTTGTCTTTATGTAAACTAAGGAAATATCTTTCAATTACTTCTGAAGTTTTCTTTTTTTAGTTTCTGTAACTTTAATAATTATGAGGTAGAACTCCACCTTGTGGTGGGTTGACCCTGGCTGGACACCAGGTACCCACCAAAGCTGCTCTATCGCTCCCCTCCTCAACTGGACGGGAAGAGAAAATACAACAAAGGGCTCATGGGCCAAAATAAGGACAGTTTAATGAAGCAAAGGAAAACAAAGGAAAAAGGCTGTCCAGCCACTTCCCGGGAAGCAGGGCTTCAGGATGCATAGGGGTTGCTCTGGAAGACAAACATAAATAACCAGGGTCCCCCCTTCTGCCTCCTCTCTCTTGCCTTTATTGCTGAGCAGGTGTCAGATGGTGTGGACTATCCCTGTGGTCAGTTTGGGCCAGCTGTCCTGGCCCTGTTCCCTTGCAAGGTCTTGCCCACCCCCAGCCTCCCGGTGAGGGGGGCGGGGGGCACATTGGAGAGACAGCCCTGATGCTGTGTGAGCGCTGCTCAGCAGTAGCCCAAACACGGGTGCGTTATCAACACCTTCCTAGCTACAGCTACAAAGCACAGCAGGATGAGGGCTGCCGCAGGCCAGACCCGGTACAGCTTGGTGTGTGCAAGGCTGTAGAGCAGATTTGCCCCTGTAACTAGGAATTGTGTTTTCAGTAGTCAGTCTGCATTCTGTGTCGTCTTCCCTCACCTCCCTCAGCTGACTGAAGATAACTGAATCTTCCTTACCCCATCTAAAAACATGCTTGAGATAAGGTATTTTGAGGTTTACTACCAGGTAAAGAATAACAAGTCTTTAGGGTGCTACAGTGCTGCTGTGTAACAGCCAGCACTAACAGACACACAGAAGCCTTGTTTGTTTGACCTCGGCTATCATGCCATGAAATCTTTTCACCATCAGCATTCTTAACAAAAGTGAGACTGTGCTAATGAAGAACTGTGCCTTGTAATACGTGGAAGCGTGAGTGGCAAAACAGTGCCTGTACTGCATCAACCACTAAAATACCAAAAGAGCACTCAGCAGATGCATAGCTTCCTGAGTTTTCTCAGGCAACATTCCAAGGCTCACAGAAGGCGAAGCTACACTAGAGACTCCGGTACTAGGTGAATCCTGCAGAAGCGTCCCAGGTGACAGAGTCAAGGAAGATGAATAGAGGTTGTGTAGATTTCTTTGAGATACAAACTCAGAGGCATAAAGTGAAATTTTAGATTTTTTTCTATTATAAATATTAAACAAAAATCTTACAATTTATATAAAATCTTTACAATCTGTACACTTTTTCAATCTTCTCAAACAACATTAAAACAAAAAATTTTCAAGTTGCCATAGAGATCAGTTACAACAAAATAACAGGTCACTACTGTAACAGGAACCTATTTCCAAAAAAAAATACATAAGCTACTTTATAAGGCAGTTGTGTTTAATCTGAATATGAACAGTAGCACTGCCTTGAGTAATATCACAATTAACAATCTATTTACTTTTATCTTTAAAAGTTTAGAATTCACACTTAAAAACCAGTAGGGGGGGGACACTTGTTTTAATTTCTTCCTACCTGTATGTACATGAAACACAGCTGAGCCTGGAGAATGAATAAAGGTGAGTGCTTTTCATTTCAATTAGCCATGACCAGATAAATTTCAGTATCACTGTTTGCTAACATGACTTTTAAACAGCACTTAGTACTTTAATTGTATCTTTTTTCCTAGCATTAAGCAGCTTGAAGATTAATACAGACGTGAGTGATTTTTGTTCAGTAGCTTTGTCAGTTTTAGCCGTATCCCTGTAGTCAGTTTCTGCTATTAGTCCTTCGTGCAGCAAAAAGCAAGTCCCAAAAGAAATAAGGGACTACCACCACAAAAAAGAGAAAGCTGTAAGGGGTTTGGGCAAACAGAGAACCTGAAGGTACTCTGAGCGCTCTGAAATTCTCCAGGTATCAACTGGCTTCTTTGAAGCAGGAAGTTTTCAGCATACACGAAGCACCACACACTTCCCTTTTAAGTCACTCAGATCATTTGTAGGAACAAGACAACAACACAGAAACATTAAGGTAGCATTTAAGACTGTACAAATCTGTGGTCATAACTAACTCAATTTTGAGTATTAAGTACTCAACCTAGTAACGCAGTAGCCTTTGGGCCAGCTGCTGATGTTAGGGAATTTTCTTTTTAAATAAGAGTTTGTTCATGATCTCCACCCGCCACCATAGACAAAGTATATGCACACACAAATTCTGTTAGAATCCAGAGTTTAGAACACAAGCAAGCAGTTATCTTTGCTGCACAACAAGATTTACGAGTCTTAGCTGCTCTTCTGGGTATTTTTGAAATACGTGAAATCTTCTTTGTTTTAATTGATGCAGAAACAGACTCTTCTTTGCTAAATGCCTGTTAGAAATACACCTTGCTGTAGGTCCCTGAATAGAGGACAAAATCAAGAAGCTGACAGAAAAGGGGCAAAGCAAGTTTGCAGATGTGACCTGAAAGCCATTCTGATTGCTTCACTGATCAAAGTGCAATTCCATGTTAATAATTCAGGTTTAGTGTGAGGAAAAAAAGCTGCACAACCTTCACAGCCACTGGTTTTTGTCCTATGCATTTCAGTTATTTACAGTAAGGTAACAGAAAATCTACTACTAAGGTTTCCCTCCATTTCTTTTTACTTTACATGGAGATGCAAGCACAATCCCAAGTTCAAAACAAGAATTTAGAATCACTAAATCAGCAAGTACTTTCAAATGGACTTTTTTATCAATAAAGCATTCATGTACTTCATAATGACTGTAAATTGTGGATGGCACATACATTTATACCACTCTGAACAGAAAGCACACATGCTATTGTAATAGGTTGACTAAATTCCTTCAATCTATAATGGACTTGTAACCTAAAAGTTTTTAGAGCATTAAGTGGACTGTGTAGATAAATGCATCGATGTCCTAAGTTTCTGATGTTTAAACGTGTGATGACAAATCCCTGTTTGATAAATGCAACCACATTTTACACAACTGTAGTATATAGATTCTCTTGGAGTGCAAATGCAATTTTAAAATTGGCTGTTCTGGCAAGTAGATTTATCAGTAACTTGCAAGACTGTTTTGTTGTCTCTTAACAGTATGTACACTTTGTAGCTTTAAGAAAACTAAGTAAGTTACCTCCCTAGCACCTTTTACTATACAAAATTTACACACATAACAGCACACTCATCTTGACTCTTTACCTAAAGTGCATGTGAAATCTAGGAGAGAAAAAATGAAGAAACCTTGGTTAGAACCAGGAGGTGTTAGGAGCTCTGGAATACAGTAACTATTGCACTGGGATTACTGTACAGTTTCCCTAATAATATGGCCTCATGTTTCCAATCCACAGTGGTGTCCGCTTTGACATGAGAGAAAAATAATATCAACCTTGTCCCCTATCCACTGTATGTAGACAAGTTATCCCTTAAGCCAAATAAGTAGGGCTAAGAACTCCAAGCTGTGGCATAGAACACAAAAATGAAAGCAGTATTCAATGTAAACTCTCTAGTCACATCATTTTACCTTAACAAGGTAAGTGTTTGAGCAGCAAGACTTCTAAAGCTCTGAAAGAGGTTTAAAAAAAATTACCAGTTTATCCTCAAGATTAAGAATCAAATAATCAAATACCATTAGCTTAACTGCTTAATATTCTTGTTAAAATTTGGAAATAAAGATGACCATTCACTTCATGATTTTAATTGGTTTCAGCCACAATGAGAAGGAACTGTTTCTCTTAATGGAGCATTTATACAGTTTTACTTAAATACTCAGCTTTATCAAACATTTGTTTCTACTAACCTGAATTTGGGCCAAATCTGAGGTGACACAGTCTTAAGAATAGCTACTTTGCCAGAACACTTGTAGAGTAAGGTGTGCTGCTGGCAGCCAAGTCACTGGGGAATCCACGTGGTCGTCATGAACAGAAATTTCAGCAACAATGTCACTCGTTTTAAAAGCAAACCCAGAATATTTTCACTGCACAGATAATGCTAAATTACCTTAAAAAGTCAAAGGAATGGGTTTATACATTTGGGAGTGTATGTTTAATATGGAGATGTGTTGAGGAAAGAGGATATTTCTATTTAATATCCTTCAGGCTCTCCAGTCTGTCTCTCTGGTTCACTTTGTAAAGCAGCTTTAACCCCTCCTTCAGTCTTACATTCTTGCAGAGGCAACTTCCTCTCTTGTCTGCTAGGAGCAGTCTCTGTGTTGTTGTAGGCTGTCAACTACATGGTTTCTTCTCTGGATTGTGAGAGACTCAATTGTTTTATGTGCCTGTTCCAGTTGGATCTTTAAACCTTCGTTGTCTGCCTTTAGAATATTTCTTTCCTAAACAAAAAATAAAAAGACAACAGTATAGTGTTTCGAATTTCTTTCAGGACTGTCTGGTTGTATGTTTAGGTTTAGTGGCATAAACATAAGTTGGAGTAGCTCTTATCAGTGTAACAGAACCAGCAACTTATTTGAATGTTTCCATAGTCAGTGATCTATCCTTTGTGTGTACTCTTAAAACTTCCCAGCAGCTGCTATCTGATGTCATGTCCACAACCTGCACTTATCCACCCTCCCCTGCTCCTCTCATAACAGCAGTAATCTAGGGAAAACAAGAACACAGCTCACACTTTACTGCTCTACTAATGCAGAAATTGATGCACAATAATCTAAAACAACATTAATTGATATCAGCTGCTGTTCAGTAATTGAGGTCAGGATCTGCTGAGGGAGCAAGGACAAGTGTAAATTGTGGGACTCACATGAACGGGACATTTTAAAGAATCAGTTCTGACAAGTACATCCACACTTCACATCCTTGTCTACGTTGAATGTACTGTTGATTGCAAGAGAAGTGGTCTGTACTGGAAGGTTGCTAATTGTCTTAATCCCTCTTTTAATAAATCAATCATCTTTCATAAAAAATGAGCTCACTTTATCAACAGCAAAGGATACTAGTACTAAAATTTATGCTTGAAATGAAGCATTGCTGGAGCCAAAGTGGCTAAGAATTTATGATGCCACTCATGGATTGTTCTGGCAATTAATTACACTGGAGTAAGGCAACACCTTCCCACCCAGCCACTCCCCCACACCCTCCAACCACTTTATGGCGCTGTCATGTAAAACAAAATTTCTTTCATGATGTATGTACCTGCTCAAGTTCCTGGTATGACGGTTTACAGCTGTGATGCTCCTCCTTCATTTTCTGGCTGGAGTCCTTGTTTTCCCATTTAACATAGGCCTTTTTGCGCCCTAGAATTGGGCTTGGACATGGGGATAGTGGAGCTGCCTGGAGATAAGGGTTTTCTGGCATCCTGTGTTCTTTCTTCTCTGTCTGCCTACGAGATACATCACCAGCCAGCAGTATGGGATCAGTCTGTATACCTTTATGAACCACAGCTGGTTTCAGTCTCACTGAGATTTTCTGAGCTGAGGAACCCATAAGCATAATGGTTCGGTCCTTGCTATCTTCATTGTGTTCCACTACTCCATTAGGAAATGTGAATGGTCCTTCTTCTTGTCCTGTAGAATACATATGGTAAATTGAGTCAAGATCTTATCCCAGGAATGGAGAAAACAGGAGGCCTAGTAATTAAACATGATTTCAATAAATAAAACATTTATTCTTCATTGATTTTACATTCATTTGTCTCCAAAATAGGTGTCTCTGGAAGTT